GTTACACTCCTGGTTTAAACCTATATTCTGCAATGCTCCTGGTTTCAGAAGGATCTCAGCTGTGCAGAAGGGATGGCCCGTTTGAAACAATGCCACAAAATGTGAGAATGCATTCGCGTCTTACGGGCCACCCAAGAGATGCCAACCTCTACCCATATACCTGGTCCGGAGACCACTTGCTTTCTTCACCTCGACCACCACCGTGTCCTACAGACCAAGTCCTTTTTGCCAGAAAACCAGTGCAGCAGCTCCGCAGCTGATGGAGGTGTGTCAGTTTAGACCAGCATGGATTTGGGTCTTCACATTCGGCAGGAGAAGAAAAAGGCATTAACCTAAAGGACCATTCATTTAAATGTCCCCCCAAATGCAGCCTCTGTGCACAGATGACAGCCCCCCCGACTGTCCTAACTACAAGCGAGCAAAAGACTTGTCACACTGAAATAACAATAGCAAACCACGTCTGAGCTTGATTGTACGTGGATGTTTCCTTGGCAGGAATGAAGATATTGTAAATTATTACTGCCAGGGTCCCAGCTAGGCAAAACCCGCACTGAGGTCTCCCCCAGGGACAGCACCAGGATTGCGAAATCACACTGTGAAACCTGATCAAAAGAAAGGAAAATGGAGTGTTTGGGGTTTAATCCAGCAAAGGTCACATCAAGTCAGGTGACAAACTGAGACCAAGAGACCAGAAACTCAGCCGAGCACTTCGCATCTGCCATGGAGCACTGGAGTAGTTCTCCTACAAATTATTGTTTAGTAAAGTTCTTACATATGATGACATTTTATCCCTCATTTTTTAAACCATGCATTAATTTTACAGTGAAATATTTATCCAGTCCAACATCTATACAACAAAACACATATTTTAAAATATCAGAATATTAAAAAGATACGATAAGGAGAGTGAGTTCTCAAAGTGGCACATGTTACGGAATAAATTAAAGGAAAAAAAGGCATTCTACTCAGGTTGATCTACAAAGTAAAGTCTGAGCCTGGGAGAAGTGTTCTCATTTCCTATAGTTCTAACAAATAAATGCCACAAGAAACAGTTCATGTTTCCAGGTTTGCTAGTGCTTGAATCCACATCACTTGTTACAGTACTGTATATTTGCGAGCGATCCTCTCCAGTTTGAAGGTATTTAAAATAAACCCACGCTGGTATTACGGACAAAGAAGTAGTGATTGTTTAGGTGCAGAAGTTAACTCTCTCAAGGTGTTCAACCTCACGGGCTTCTTAATATAAGAAATAAAACCCAAGGAGCCAGCTCCGAACAGAACAGCCCGCGGGTACGAACAAGAGTCGTGCCTTCACTGGAAGTGGCTCCAGCCCCATCATCTGTTCGGGGTGAGCAGTGCCGTACCCATGGCGGGGTTCGGTGGCCCCACGAGCCCCTGGGGACGCAGGGCTCTCCCTGCACTGTGCCGAGGCTGCCTCGCACACCTTGCTTGCATTTGAATGCTACTAAATTCCTGGTATTAGGAATTTAGCACCAAGACAGGGAAAGGATGTTCAGCACGGCTCCTTTGTTCCCACAGAGGGAAACCTCCTCCTCCTGAACAGAGAGCCAATGTGAGGCCCGTCTGCTACTTTAATAACGAAAGACCTTCTTAATTAGCACCTTTTCAGACAGAATCAGTCAATTAAATCTCTCCTCCATGGCTCTGCTGCATCGCTTGGGACCAGCAGCCATCACACGGTGGGCTGAGTGTTGCAGAACCTGGGTGGTTTTTCCCCAAAGCAGCCTGGCAGAGGGGGACTTAACGCCACTGCAGTTGTGAAGCCCCAATAGTTAGCTGCCTACCACCTTGAAAGACAATATAAAGATAACTTAACATTTACAAGAATCTTTGCTAATATGGGGATGGGGACAATAAGAGCACTTAGAAGATGACAGGAGTCTTACACTTCTTCAAGGTTCACGTGTACAGGTGGCGGGGTTGAACGCTTCCTTTTCAACTACGAATACAGATCTGTGTGACTTACAGTGATTCTCTGACAGCCTGTAATTGTTCAAAGATAGCAGCTTTGTTCAAACTAAAACAGCTAAAAACATATAAAGAGATAAAAAGCTCTGAACTAGCACTGACATGAAATAACAAGACACCTTTGATCTTTCTTGATTGCAAATGGTCGGGGCACATCTTGCTCTGGCTCCGCAGGGGGTGGCCCCAGGTCAATTTTTTTTTTAAGGGGGGGGAGGGGGGATGGGAAAAATCAAGGGAACATACTTACCTGCTTACAGCATGCCAGCTAAAAGCATTGACCCCCTGGACCAAAGATCATCACATAAAATGCTGCGCATGCGCTTCCAACAGGCTAACCAGACCACAGACGCACCAACCAGAAGGGAGTGTAATGGCAATTGCATCTACAAAACATGAGCGTAGAACAGCGGAAACCGTAGGAAGGGGCTGAGACGTGGGCTGCCCTGCAGGAACGCCTGGGGTTGTCACTTACTCGGGTGCTGCAGCAGGTACAGAACTACCTGGTGCCTATTTACAGTTCTGAAGACAGAGAAGACAATCGGCTAAAATGTGGTGCCAGCTATTTTTTGGGGACCTATAAACTATAGGTCTATAGCTAGGCGACCGCTGTGATTCTTTTCCAGTTAAAAACAGGTGAGACTGTTGGAAGAGCCAGAAAAGGAAAAAAAATAAACTTGCTTGTGAACTAAAGCAAATACCAGTTCACCTGGTCTTTTGACTAAGGAGGGTTGGGCACAGGGTTAAACCCAGCTAGGGAAGGGATCCCCCCGGACGCAGCGGCAGCAGAGCTCAGCCTCCCACTTCTCCAGATCCGACTCTCGTTCGGTGTTTCTCTCTTAGTGTTCGACATGGCACTGCCGACCCCGGGGAGCACCTCTCACGGGACTGCAGTTGGAGCTGGATGTGAAATCGGGAGACACGGCTCATTGCAGGATGGACGATGGAGTACAGATCCAGGATGGATCTGACGCAAGGTCCTGACCCAGGAGCAGTAGTATTTTGCCCAGGGATGCTGAATGAAATTGCTCCTTCGCTGCACAGTGAGATGCAAAATCGCTTTGGAAACTGTCTTACAGAAATGGAAAACAGGACTGGGCATGCTGTGTTTTACTTGTGCTTGGGCAGAGAAGTCCTGCATGACTGAGCTGAAGATTGTGGCTGGTCTAATACCAAGTAGACCAGAGACAAGGCTTTGCTAACTGCTCCCCTTCCCCCTTACATTCACCCCATCTACAAAGCGACACGTCAGCTCAGTTTGAGCATGGCTTCAGCTCTGGCTTAATGGCCTTTCCCTTCTTTTAAATAGGGAGAAAAGGGATGGAAAGAAAAGCCTACTTCGGTACTGCAATTTAAATGCGTGAATGGAGGACCCAGAGCGCAGAGCTTAGTCCGGCCCATGCTGGCTTTTGAGTTTCTGCCCCATTAACACGCAGCGCCTCGCTCTCCTTCAGCTCCGGAGATCTAAGGCTTGATTTTAAACCTTGATCCTCTCCTGGAGAAAGCCTTCACACACAGTTTGAACAAACTGACGTGCTGCATTTCTGTAAAGGCCAGCAAACTCCAGTGATTTCCAGCACCTCCGGCTCCATCGAGGCTATCCTTTGCCAAGACCTAGGCAGCAGCATGCTGCACGTGAGGACTGCTGATTGCTCCAGCTGTGGTAGAAAGAGGGTTTTTTCCCCCCAGAGGGAAGAAGAGACCAAAACGCTGATTCTGATACAAGATTGTTAGTCCGTTTCCATTTAAGAAGTGAAACACCTACACTTGGCAAGCTGTAGGACAGCCCAAGGCAGCACCAAGCAGCACTTCCCGACAGCGCCAGAGCTGCATGACGGGCTCTGCCGGCGTACAAAGGGGTGAAATGAGGGGTTTCCAGCGAGCCAAGGCACGGATACCCGAAAGCCTTAGAAGCACACGCAGCCCACGACTCCTGGGCAGCCACAGCACGATCACAGTACGTATGCAACCACAGTATACAGCTGGCAGTAGTAACAACATCGACTGGGATTTGTTTCCTATCCTAGGAAGTGGCCTGCATCCTTTAGGTGCTCAGAACATGTCTTAAGAAGTAACTCCTTCAGAGGTTAAACTTCTCATTTGCCATAATTTCCAAGTCTTTCTGCTCCTCTCCTTCGCTAGTGTCGATTTGCTTCAAGTTCCGCCACCAAAATCCTTAAGAAAGGCACATTAGCTTGGTGGAGATCTTTTTCACTTCCCTTAGCAATAAAAAGCTCTCCGAAATCCCATATTGTTCATCAACTTGTCTCTAGAGAACCAGACTTTAAACCATAAAGCAGTCTGCATCTTCTTAAGTCCAAACCTCCATGGGTACCATGGACTCCTTTGTTCCAACGGAGGGAAGCAAGTATTCTTCCTCCAGAAAGCGAAAGGGGAATTGTACTAAAAACCCACGAATCTTTTTTAATTCTTCTGCAGCTTTCGCAGGATCATCAGTCGCTAATTTGGGCTTGTTGATGAAATCACGCAGTTGGGTTAAATTATTCACCTGGTCACTGGGAAGGCATCGAAAAACCTGTTCAAAACAGAAAGAAGAAGTAGCATGTCAGTGCGGGGGAAATACTGCAACGCAGAGTTCCCGAGAAAGACCGCAACATCTAATACAAATTCCCCGGGATGGGAGTGACTTAATTAACAGCCTGGAGAACGGGGAGGGAAGAGGTAGGTGCCTATCTGTGATATGGCTAGAGCAGGCAGAGGGGAAGCTCCAGGACTTTTTCTGATCACTGCAAAAGCTCATTAGAAATGAGAAATAAAATTTGCTCCAGTTAGGCTATGGCCAACTAGAAGCAATAAGTACACCGCGGCGATCCACCGGAGGTACAGCTGGTATAAATAAAAGGAGAAATCAGAACTGTCGCCTTCTTGGGCTGCCGTCACACTTTGAGGATGCACAAACTCCAGTTTCTTGTTCACAGCTCTTGCATCTGACACTACTTGTTCCTTCAAAGCATCTCTGAAGGTCCAACCCCAGGAGCTGGACCTGCTGCCCTTGCCCTCCACGTGCTGCTTCTCCCGTTGGCATCTGCTGCCGCCGCGCGGGAAGGAGGGAGGGGAAGGTTCCTCACCTTATCAAAGATGGTGGCATTGCGAGCCGCTGTAGAAATCCACACCTCCTTGAAGAATTTGTCGGAGACGGGATCCTGGTGTTCCGGAGTGAGATCGGAGCCGCCAAGGACAACCCTGAGAAGACAAAGGGATCGATGCTCATGGAGGTTGGAGCACCGGGCACTCCCCCTCTTGACAAATGCCAGGGGAGGAAAAGTTCCCTTGGGACTTGCCAAACCCTGTGTGCTCCCAGCGCCCTCCCACTCCTGGCCCTGCAATAGTCTGTCTCAGCTGTAACGCTGCTCGATTTTCTCCTTTTTTTCTGTCCGTAACTGTCCAGATGGGAAATAAGGTGGGGGAAAAAAAAAAAGGAAAAAGAAAAAGGCCTTAAAGAGAAAATGGCCGTGTTGTGGGCCAGATGGCTGCTCCGAGTGAAGAAACTTCCATGAGAAAGAGACACCGCCACCCGAAATTGAGAGCGTGTGAAAACAGGATCTGGAAGCAAAATATCACTGTCTTGTTTATGAGCTCTCCTAGCAAAATCCTGGAGCAAAATGATTTTTAAGTCAAGCTCCTGAGCTGAGGACAGGAGTGGCATGGGAAAGGCTAACGCCAACAAAACAGCAGCAAAACTCTGGGCTAAATCCAGGCCAGGCGATGCTAAACCTGCAGGCAGCAGCAGCCCCGTTGGTTTGAAAGGCTGCGGGTGGGCGTAAGCCCGAGCGAGCCCTGCCTGCGTCCCTGCTCGCTGCCCGCGCTCGGCCAGCCCCACGCGTCCCACCTGAAGCACCGCAGCCGGAGGGACTGGGCAAACTTCCCAGCGCTGTAGTCCTCCCCGTCCATCACAGAGGGGATGGTCTCGGTGTCCTGCACGATGATGGCCATCTCGCTGTCCCGCTTCCCCAGCATGCTGCGGTCGTTGATGTTGGCAGAGCCTGGCGAGGGGGAAAACGAAGCACCGGCAATGCATCACCTGCCGCATGAGATGCTCCTGCACGCTCTCCATCACCACCCACCACCCCCCGTGGCCCTCCGCATCCCTCGTCTCCATAGGGGACCACCTATGGCTTCGCTAGGTAAAACCCCGACCAGAGGGGTTCCTTATGGAAACACAGACCCCAAGAGCCAGGATTTGGGGGAGGGGGGGAAAAAAAAAACCCCACACCTAATTTTTGCAGGCTTCAAAAGCTCCAGGTTTGGAAGAAGGTTAAACCATAGCCAAGCTCAGGCCAACATTTTCAAAAGTTTACTCTCTCTGTAACTTTCCAGATGCTTTTGCTGAAGGATGCCACAGCTTTCAAAGGTCTTAACTGCGTTTGGTTTGGATACCGAGTTACCTGACACAGGATGGGCTCCATGGGTAAATCTGCTTTTATCTTCAGTAGCATAAAGAGGGGAAGTTTTTCATTTGCATTTGGAAGGTAGGGGTTTTTCGGGAGGGGGATCTAGGAGGAAAGACATAATCTCCTCGCTGTGGGTAAGCAACACCCACACCCTCCTGTCCCGCCAGGACCACACTTTTGTGTCTGCAGATGCAAAAGCTAAGGCACTGTCCCTGCTAATGCAGCAAGGCAGCAGCAGACCCCGGGGCTCTGGGGGACCTTCCGACCACAGGAGATCATAGAATCATAGATGTTTCATCTCTACTCCTTGCCCTACGCCTGCTGCAGCACTACCGCGTGCTGCGTAAAACCCAAACCCCAGGAAGGAGAGGGGTGCTTTCTGGAGGGGTATTGAGGGGACACGTTCCCCAGCGGTGGGACCCACAGGTGTCCTGTGCACAGCTCTCTGCTCACACCCTGGGAAATAACAGCTTTGGTACCCAGCAAGGCTGATGGAGGGCAGCAGAAGTTTCCCCCCATTGCATTTCTACTGCACGGCTCTGGCTGTGCCTTTCAGGAAGGGGGTCCCTCTCCAAAACGCACCACCCCGCGCACGTAAGGGTTTGGGTGCTGGGCCCGTGCAGTGGCTCTAGCGCTGACTCTGCACCGTGGTGGGAGCTCCCCAGCCCGCATGTGCCGTGCAGTGTCCGACACTTGCAGCATTGCTCGAGACCAGCTGAGGCTTTATCCCCCAAACAGGTTTCTCTGTCCCACGCAGCCGTCAGAAGGCAAGGGATGGGGGTCACCGCAGCGCTTGTTTGCTCCAGGGGAACAGCAAGATGCAGCCAGCGATAGGAGTCATCAGGTCATTAACCCACAGACATGATCAAACAACAAAAAAATTCTCCAGACACAGCCCTCAGCCCCGTAAGAGACCCCCAGGCACTAGTAAGCCATTCAGCCTTCCCAGTGACTCAGTGAACTCAAGGGGAGATAACACCTCCCGAGGAAAAACGAGCCAAGCCCCTCTCCGTCCTTTCACCTCTCCCTCCTGCACGGTGGCCCCGTTAGCATTTTATTTCCATGCACCGTCTCTTTCTTGGGTGGAAAAGGGATGACACTGGCTCCCCAGCACCTACCAGCTGGCACAGATGCTCACCCTGTCTAAAAATCCATCCTCAGGCTTATAGGTACAGAAAATAGAAATTAAGAGCTGACTCAGGCCCCCAGACCATCACAGTTGCAACAACACTGCTCCTGCCGTAATATTAAAACCACCTCTGGGCTGCCCTGCGTACTGGAGACGGGATCTGACCCCTGAGAGGGTAACAGAGGAGCAAACCTAACCACAGGTCATCCGAGACTACAGGCTGAACTGCTGCTTTGAAGGAGGGGAGTATTCCGAGTCTTGCAAAATCTGGTATGAAGTTATTCTTTGGCAAAGTCTTTGTTGCTGATATAACAGCTCGAAAAGGGTTTCTTTAAAGAAACAGGCTAAAATTCTGCTTTTCTGCTGCGATGTAGAACTCTGAGCCTGAAGTCTCTTGTCTCTGCTTCGTGATCTCATAATAAATATGGTAAGAGAAACGGATGAAATAATATCTATCGTTATAGCATATTTCCCCATTCTTAGGAAATGGAGCTGATAAATGACACATGTTGTCCAAACCTTCCAAATTTTACGGCACATTCTGTTCTTTAAGGAACAGATGACAAGTCTCACAAGTCCTCCTGCTAGAGCAGAGTTTGATACAAGACAGATGGACAATATTCCCTGCACTGGGATTCTCTTCACTGTTACACAGAGATTTAAAACCATTTTAGAAAAACAAATTAAATGACAACCCTCCAAATCCTTTCCTCCCTCCTACCTACCCTCCTGATGAATTTATGAGTTTGGATTTTTTTTTTTTTTTAAACAACAAAATATTTCACAAGAAAGAAATCACAACATAGAAAAGCACACGGCACTGCAGCCTGCACTGAGCACAGGGCAGAGAAGTGAAGGGACTAATCCAGATATAACCGAGTGGTCCAAACCCCTCCCGCAAGCCCCCTGCTCACCGATTATAACTGTGTTGTCATCAGCAATAAGCAGTTTGCTGTGAACGTAGATGAGCTCCGTGACTAGTCTTCCTTCCAACTCTGCATGCGTTCGAAGTCCGCAGAATGATATGTAGTTTATCCACTTATCTCCAACTGGAAATTAAAAGACGACAAATACGATGGGATGAGGGAGGTGAAAGAGAGAAGAAAGAGTAAAGACCCTCCTTATGTAAAGACCCATATGAATAACAGTTCACTTTTGACTTTTAAAAAAAAAAAAACACCAAACAGGAAACAGAAATAAGTTTCTTTAAAAATAGACTTTAAAAGCTGCCTGTGGGCTCTCTGTGCTGCTCTGATCCGCTGCCTGCTCGGATACTTCCACTTCGGTGAAAAATGACCCAAATCTCTCTTGTGCAGCAGGCAAGTGCTCACAATGGATACGAACATCTTAAAATAACTGGACTATGTGAATGTTTTTCTGCAGATCCCGCAGAAAGGAAGCTGGAAGCAGTTGTTTTGTCCATGCACAGTACAGAAAATATGCCCTAACGTACTTGTCCGCAGTTACCTCGAACTAATGAAGCGTTATGGACGCCCCTCGTATTTACGATATGTGGGTTTTCGTGGTGCTCCGATTCCCAGCAGAGCAAATTCAAGCAGGCATCCTCACGGCGAGGAAGCAACTCGGAAACAGCGTCCTGCTTAGGCAGGTTTTTCCCCTCCGTGCCAGAAACAAACCCAGGGTGGGATTCATGGGGGAGGCAGAGGGCTCATTGCTCCCAGAAGCGTGACCCCGCTCAGGACATTTTCTAAATAACACGATCCTGAGCAGCTGCAACCGCGCCGTGCTCCTCCCTGGGGTCCTCCGCTCCTCCGGATCAGGCCAGCATCCAAGCGTGAGGTCTGACACCCGGCCACGGCTCGCGTGACCCAACAGACCTCGCCATGGGGTGACGGCAGGGGAGGAGGTCGCTCACCAGCCCCACGAGCCCATAGCACACGTTGCTGTGAGATTCCCCAGGCCATGCCTGAACACCTCAGCCACAGCAAGCCCACGTTAATAAGAAGCCAGAGAATCTGATTCATGTGTTCTGGATGTATCCATTGAACAGCAGCATCCCAAGACTAAGCAACACAGAGGAGAGGAATAAAGCTCTTACTCTCTGTCTTCAGCTGGCCCAGGATTGAGTTTTCTCCTCGGCACATGGTCCTGGAAAGAAGGTAGGCAGCCGTCAGCACCACCGCGACTCGAGGAAACGGCATATGCTGAAGCAGAACTGGATGAGGTAAATCGCAAACACAGATGCCTCTTAAATACCCCATGCAAGTAGAAGAAACACGGTGCTTCCAGAGCACACATTTTTCCCAAATGACTGTCGATACATCAAGGACTGCTCATTTCCTAAAGGAGCTTGTACCGATCTGTGTAGGAGCTGGGGAGCATTTTTGCCTTCCAGAGCACACCGCAATGATCAGAAACGTGTTACAAACAGGGCTGCTACCATCTGTGCTGCAGGTCTGAACGTGAAGTGACATCAAGAAAGTCAGTCAACACGTGCAGAAGACCAGCTCAGGGAGTTTGTGTGATTACGGCTGGGCTGGAAAAGCCACAGTCGGCATCTCATTCAAAAAAAACCAAATCATGGGTAATTTCTAAAGACCTATGGTTGCCCTTGCAGAAGAAAGCTCAAGCAGAAGGGCCTGGTTTGGGAGACATGCTGCTTTCCTTCTGCTTGCGACTCCTGCCCTGCTCGTCCTTCTGGAGGTGCGGTAGGACCCCTGCAGACAAGGAGATTTCACTCTGGAGGTAGCAGTAGTCTCCACGGACTGACTCCGCCCTGGGGATCCACCGTGCCAGGGCAGAGGCAGGGATTTCCCCGCATCTCTTGGGGGGGGATTCACCTGCAGAGGGCACCGGGCTTTACCCACCGCACCTCCCTGCTCGGCTAGCATCGCCTCACCCCCTGACGCAAATCCCCAGGCTAGCAAAAAATTAGCTAAAAGTACTAAGTGAAAGCTACACAAACAGTTCTCCTCTCCTTTTCCAAACGCTGCGTGCTCGTGTGAACACCATCTAGTGTGACGCCGGGCTGATGGCAGCTGGAGCCTTGGCCACCAGCCGCAGCGGGCAGAGGTGACTGGGGAGGTCTCCGACAGCCCTGCCCGCAGCCGGGCTGCCTGCCGTACCTGTAGTTGAAGTGCATTATGGCCTGCAGAGCATTCCCCCCGCCGGTCGAAATGTCTCCTTCAAACCCAGGCAGCAGCGGGATCACCACGTATACTCGGAAACGCTTGTTTTCCCTGAAACGATAGTTTGGGGTAATATTAGCCTGCAAATGTTACAGCTTTGTACGAGGTGAGACCTCTTGGTTTCCCTTTCTCTGTGTGGACTGACTTGGTTTCCATCCAAGGCTACTACACAAATTTTAAGGGAGCAAAGTGTGAAGCGTATTTCCAGTTTCAGGTCTTCATCACCTGTCATCAGTACTTCAGCGTGCGCTCAGACCTTCAGGGGGAGAAGGAATAATTTACTCTAAGCAGACAACAAAAGAAGCTAAAGGAAAAGAAACACATTTTCACTGAAGTTCAAGGGCAGGCTAATTATTTTGCAGATTGTGTCTGCCACTATAAAAGTTCATTTGAGCACCCCGACAGCCCAGTCACACGGATACTGGTGCAGACTGGTGTGTACGACCGCCTGGGAGAGCACAGCAAAGACTACAGAGCTACCACAGGCAGAAAACCAAAATCTAACCTGACGTTCCCACTACATCCTGGTTTTTAGAAGTCAGAAACAGCACAAAAGGTGGGAAAAGCTCCAGGCACAAGCAAAACATTGATCATTCAGGAAGCCGAGTATTTGATCAATACATCACAACCTACAAAAACTCAGTTCCACTGGACATCCACAAACTATACCGTACCCTAACCATGATCTGATCCAGGATGACCAAAGCTACTATTGCAGCACTGCCAGGGGCTTTTCTTAAAGCCCACCTTTGGGTTTTCTTCGGCTTTTTCTCTGCCGGTGCTTTCCAGGCACCCCTGGGTGTTGGCGATCCCCTGGCCTGCACCCCGGAGGAGGAGGAGGAGGATGCTCCATTGAAGCGTGCTGCCACTAGATGGCAAACACACTTTAATCAGGACAAAACCATTTCAGGAGCCGTCTGAAGATGAGCCAGCCTGCAGTTTTTCTTAAAAGTATTCCTTCCTCGAGCAAGTTGTGCCTGTGGATTTAAGGGCACAGGAATTGTGAAGAATTGGGGTCTCGTCTGAGCTGGGAGGGAGACATTGAGAACCTGTGTTCCTTTTTCAACCAGCGCTTCCTTATAGCTGTGCTATGCACTGTAAACTAGCTTTAGTCTGACAGCAGGCCTCGGAAACAGCTAATGAGGTCTTACCCGTACACAACAAGAGACTTTGAAACGAAGCCTGTTTGTCTCATGAAAAAGATCTACTAACAAAAGCATTCCCAAAAAAGCAGCTTGTTTGTCTAAGCCCAGTGTTTATTAAACTAAAGAGCCACCCACGAAAAAAAGAGGAAACCAAGAAAAGAATGTTATTAATTACATCAGTAGAAAATATTTAGTCTAGAAGAGCGAAAAGTGTACAAGCTTAACTAAAGAACTTAATTTACAATTAAACATCTGTGTGTCACCTACACTGTTTTCCCAGGGCAGTTTGGAACATGAGCACTTCATACAAACCATTTAGGTCTGAATTTACTTTTAATCTTAAGCAATGCCAAGCACTCTGGAGCGTGCAGAATTTGCATCTTACATTCAGTTAGGAATCACTGACATTAAGCTGGCACAATATTGGCATAAAATTGGAGTAATACAGAAGTGAATCAAGCATCACGTCTGAAAACGGGTCACTGAGGAATCTGCGCGACTCCCTTTTGTGCTAGACTTTTTGATGTCTGGACAGAATGACACCCTTCACATAAACTTTATACAACAGAAAATCTTAACAGATTACCCAGAGAATTTGCTGCTACCTCAGTAGCATTGCTAAAAGCAGGCAACCGATGCAAAGGGCCCACGCCAATCAGTTCCCAAAGGCAGGGAAGGCAATCCAGAGGGGCTTTCCAGGGGGACGCCGCACAGAGACACCGTGTCCGGCTGCCTGCGAGCCTCGAGGCTGCGATGCAAACACCAGCAACGCCATTTCCAGCAGCACTGGCACCACTCTTCATCTACCCTGGGTGAGAAAATCCATTCCGTCTTTTCATCCTTAGCTAATTTCAATTATTTGGGCTATGCATTGCAGCTCACAGATTACAAGCAACTCCACCCTGTTACTCTGCCCTGTTGTTAATGGCACAGCAGATAACACCCGTGCTCTCCCGGTTTGAATAGTGCTCCTCTTTCCACACTGCCTCTGAACGAAGCCAGTCTCATGCCAGCTCCTGTGGCCTTGCAGATAGTACCCATGCCTCAGTGTCTGCGAGGCAGGAGCTACTGCCTGTCTCTGCTTGGTTGCCTTTACCCAAGTGGGAATTTCCAAGCTCAAGTGCCAAAGAGAGAGAAATTTCTGCAACTCCAGAGAGAGCACCTCTGGGAATGCAGACCCTGCATGGCTCTGGACAACTACAATATGGGAAAAAATAATCATTGCAAGAAACTTCTTGATGCATGGCGAAAAAGCACATGAGATGAAAGGAAAACGTTTGGAAAGTGTTCTGTGTATCAGCCCAGCAAGATCAGGATACAGTTTTAGACTATGACATAAATGTATCTTAAAGAGAGACTCCAGGAGAGCTACCTTAAGCAAAGCTGTCCAGGATCAAAGCGAAGACAAGCCACTACCTGTGGTATTAATGTTAACACAGGGCTAGGCATGCTCAAGTAAAAGGAGCGTCTAAAACGTGGTTGGATTTGACCCATCCAGGAACAAATGATGGTCCCCTTGCAATGACTGGAGGTTGTAAATACCTTCCAGCACTTACCAGAAAAAAGTTATTCAAACAATAGCTGAGCCCTGCAGTCAAATCCTCGAAATGTGTTTGCTTCCCCTATTTGAAGCCAACCCTCTCTATAGATAATTTAAATAAGCCACAAATCCCAGTCCAACCTTTTCGCCCATTAACTGACCTTACCACACAGTTCAAGACCGGTTGGCTATGGAGCAAAGGTGTCACTGAACCGGAGTATAAAGGACTTGCTTTTAAACAAGTTCCGTAATTAAAAATACATTTGCATCAGGGTAAGTCCAGAAAATCACTTTCTGGCTGCAAAGAAACCACTAAAGAGTCTCACTGCTGCAAACACAAGCAGATACTCGACCACATCGGTTCTGCATTGGAAAAGCTGTTGTACAGTTGTGTCCATTAAGATATTCTTTTGTACCACATGATATAAATGCACCTGGAAGATTTTCATTGCCTTGTTAAGAACAGGTTACCTGTGAGCTTTAAGAATCCTCTGAGCAATTGCATCGCCGATCTTGTTCCAGACGACTTTGTCATCAGCACAGCTAATAAAAAACTGGTTCTGCAGGAAAAGCAAGCAAAGCTACTGTCAGACACTGCCAACAACGAACAAAAAAATATTTGCATGCTTTATTTCAGACCGAGAGCAACTAAAGATAGCTGGGTTTTGTGTGCCACTTGAGTTGATGCTTTTTTAAAATTATTAAATGTTGTGTGTGTCTGTGTTTGCTTAGGGAATGAATTAGTTCTTATTAATCACACTCCTTAGAAAGTTCATGTAAAGAGCCACCTAACAAGAGGCTAAAAAAAAAGAAACGAAGATAATAAGCTCCTCCATTCAATCCGCGCTGAGAGTTGCTCCCACACGGGAGATTCCTGCAGCTCCAGGCTGTACGGATGTGAGACCAGCCCTGCACGCAGGAGGTTTGGCCATGCACAGGGGACACTGCAAAGCCATGGAGGGAACAGGACGTCTATTGCATAGGCCATGAAAGTTGCTGGCAATTTTGCAAAGAGGCTTATAAAGGAGAGGTCTACTTTTTTCCACCTTGTGGTTAGAAGGCTGTCAGGGTACATACCCATAGCGCAGTCCGAAGACCACTGAAGTCAACAGAAAGAGCCCCAAAAATTCATAGAATCATAGAACCATTAAGGTTGGAAAAGACCTCTAAGATCATCGAGTCCAACCGTCAACCCAACACTACCATGCCCACTAAACCATGTCCCTAAGACAGAGCAGATGCTGTGTTAATGTCTACGTGTGTCTAAATTCATAAAAAATTAAGACCAAACCTCAAGAAGAACTACTCTCCTGATGGCTGTGAGCCATGCCCAGAGCATCAGGACCCTCCTGCTTTCCCTCATTGCCACTCACTTCTATATATATGTAGTGCTTGCTGTTTTGTATCACGCTGACATAGGCGTTGTGGATGGACTCCTCGTGGTATTTAATGCCAGCCGACCAATCAGCAGCAGAACGGATCACCTGGAAAGCAAGAGATGAACACCTTCAGCTCTCTGCCATCCAGGACGGCACAGCATCGCAACTGAATTATTTAAGAGACAGCGCTCTTCCCCGGCACCGTTTGCCTGTCCGGATTTCACTAAATAAGTAATATGTGCGACATTCACCATTTATACTGCATTTGTAATGGGGAGAAAGGATGCTCAAAAATAGTATTAATGCTTAATAATGTTTTGATTAAAGACAGAAGTGCCCTGTCCCATTGCTGCGTTACTGCCCTCTCCGACCTGAGCAGTTTTAGATGCAACAGCAGCAGCACAGAAGATCTGGTCTTGCTTAAGGTCTTATGATAAATTGCTTTCAAAGCAACCTAAATTTCCAAGCTTTAGGGGTGCACATCCAAGCAGGGATCTCCTCTCTAGCAATATTTAAAGCTGGTCTCCAGCTGGGGCAATGCGTTTTTCCCCACAAACAGGCAGTACATAATCATACAGTCAGTCTGATAATGCAGGCCATGTCTTTGTCCTGAGCACTCGAGGTCATTTATTTCTTCTGCCAAATTCTTGCACAAGCCATTTGATTTGTGATGATATGACTTTTAAAATTCATAACAGTCCAGCTGCCCACACTTATTTATTAATTTTTACTGGAAACGCACATTTTGAGTAGATACTGCGAGATCCCCGGGGCACGTTCTCCCCCTGCCTCCTGCAGTTCTTGTGCAAGAGCCAAACCCATATGAGAAACAACCTTTGTTCACGCTCTCACCAGGCTGAGCAATCCCCACAGCAGGCAGCTTCCCATCCCCGACAGCCAGAGATGCCGCGGCATCTCCCACTCCTGAGCTTTGAGTCAAGAAGCAGCCACGCTACGCCCTGCGTGACATTTTCCTAGATGGAAATGTAGTTTTTAATTAAGTGTCAGCAGCGTACGTGCTCAGGGGAAATAATTCTTCGTGATTAGCCTCTGTCTTTAAACATCGTCAAGATAAAAACGTTGAAATAATAGCCTTAAAATATCTCGATACACCCATGATACCAGCAGTCAGGGCCAGTCACATACAGGACAAGATCCAAATGCTGAGGATCCGTGAAATGTGTGTGTCAGCACGTGCAAAATCCCGATCTCTTTCGGGGCTCAACATTTTTCCCTGGAAATCCCTCCCACGGATTTCTTTTAATTCTCCATGTCCAGCTTCTGCTTTGCTCCATGTTACCCTCCCTGTCCCCCCGACATCCCCGATACCCTGAGCTCTGCTGTCACATTGTCATCACCATCCACCACCAAAGCAGGCTGCTGGCTGTGGCATGGCTGAGGACTTTTGAGGACTAATTAATTACCAGTAGTACACCAGTAGATAAGGATTTGGCCCTTTGGTCCAGATGCTGCATGCCTGAACCAAACCAACCCTCTTGTCTCCAGAGCATCTCTGGAGGTGGCACTGAGGAGCATTGCTGTTAAGTAGCACACAACTCCTGAGCTAATTCCTTCACCCGGACAGATGGAGCTTTCTCCCACAGGTCACTGGAAAACAGATCCTGCAACTCTCCTATTTGGCAGCTCGCTTGGCCAGGAGGGAGCACTCCACAGCCTCCCAAACAGAACGTCAGGATCACAGATGCTTGAGTGAGGGAGCCAGCCTGAACGCAAGGGCCATCGCAGGCTCTGTCGGTCCCAAACAGCCGCCCTTCGCTTGCACAAACCTCCGCAAAGCAATGCTGCTCATGCCCGTGCGGTTTTAATCACCCGTTTGGTTTGCAAAGCCAACGCTGCGTGCTCCCACATGCCCCGGGCTGGGCACTGCTAAAACCCCACTGAGCACCAGGGCAGACAGAGCTCCTGAACAAAATTCCACCATTTGCATTAATAAGGACAGGAAAAACAGTGTTTCTGGGTAGAAAGCAGGCTAATTCTTCCGTACACACAGCTCAGGCTGCAGCCTGGACAGGAGCTCACAGCCAGCGATGCGCAGCCACGCTGCCCCTTCCCCGCTTTCTGTCCTGCTGTGGTGAAAACCTGGGGCCACAAAGCACACCCCTGTGGGCTGGGGACCTCCAGCAAATGCAATCTGGAATTGCACTTCAGAAAGCTGCAGATTGTAGCGTCCTAGCATACAAAGTAGTGATATTTAATCCTTTTTTTTTTTTTTCGCTAGTTAACTTTGTCCACGTTCCAAGGAGCCGCTTCTCTTTTCAAGGTAAGCTGCTAAGCCCTGCACTGAATGAAGTAACTTCCACACCCTCATTTACAGCAGCAACAACTGAAACTGCTGGGGACGAGGAATAAACGTTCTTTTCTGAATTGGAAGCTTGACAGCACCAAAGCCCCTTGCTTTGAAAGACAAATTTACTGCCAGAAGACAAGTTTATTCCAAACCAGGGATGCCACCTGATGCAACAGAACTGTCACTCAGGACCATCCCTTTCCAGCACCATGGCTTCCCAGCACATCCACCTGCCCTTCCCTGCCTTCCTCTTCACCCCTCCACACGTCAGCAGCCCAGCTCCCTCCGCTGTTCCATCACCCCTCTGCCCTCACCCCAGAACTGTGTGTCACGGCTCGTCCTAAAAAGCTGGCTCAGCATCACCCAAAAAGCTTACGTCAGGTACAACCTCGAATCCACGTGCGGAGGGAAGAAGAGGTGTCAGAAGATGCTGGCTGGGGCAGCAGAACAGGTATGAGGTGTTCCAGCTTGGATCTCCTCAAAATAAAGTTATTTTTAACCTGGATCGCTTCAGCAGCCAGCACGGATCACAGCGCAGCTCTGCAGCCACAGTGACAGGCGAGGAGGTGGCAGGACAAGGCCACCAACGTCAGTGGCTCTGTGGCCACCGTGGGCAGCATGGCATGGATGCGGCACCCGCCCCGAGGAAACAAAGCTGCGGCTGTGGCACTCAAAGACAAATACACACCTTGAAGTTTCCTACGCAGGCCTTCCCTTATCACTGATGTTTCATCTCACACTCCTGGACATCTCTCCTTTCCTGTCAAGGTATTTGAAGCGAGCTGGTTCAAACCCAACCTATTTTCCTAGGGAAAAAAGGCCACACGGTGCCCAGCACAGCCCCTACCAAGCAGAGCTGGTGTCTCCGTGCTCCTTCCTCTCCTCCCCAAGCCTCTCAATAGCAGGGCTGAGTGCTGTGCCGGCCTCGTCATCCCTTTAACTTCTTTAACTGATACAACAGTAATAAATTGATGCTGTGGGCTAGTGCATAAATCCTGAACAATGCAAGCTCTCACGCAGACTTCAAAGAGCATTAGCCATTGCCAGACCATTAAATTTTCATTGCATTTACATCAGGAACTGAATATTGCCTCACCACGTCACATCTTTTGCAGCGCTGGCTTTGGCTGATAACTGCAAACTCTGGAATGGAAATAGATGGAAAAAACCCGGCACTGCCTTTGGCAGACGGCTATTTGACTCTTGCAAAAATCAACGTGCAATCACATTGCTATTGCGAGCAAGTTCAAATGAAAGAGGATGAGAGACCATGTCTGACTAACCCGTGGAGCTGACAGGCTCCTTTCCTCCCTCCCAGCCTGTACCTCCACACCGTTTCCCATGCACGCTGCATTCACCCTCCCTGCCCAGGGGAAAGCCCCTGTCAGTGCTGCTCCTGCTATCCCCACCCTCCCGAAAATGCTTTCCTGCTCCTCTCCTCTGACAAAGGATAGCAAAACCAGATGGTACAATGAGGTCAAAATCTGTTGCTGACAGGTCAGTGGCTCAGGCTTGCAGCAACGTTGCAGTCCCCACAGATCCTTTGTGTTTTCCCTTCCTCTGATCTGCCCACAATTAAAGACAGATTTGCAAACAAGCTCAGAAACAAGAAAACCGGCAGCCAGACTTTCTTCAATCACCCCACGGCCAGGGACAGTCACTGGATGCTGGATTTTACCTCGGGGCAGTAATTTCTGCCTATAAAGTCCCTACACAGCACCAAAATGGGGATAACACGGGTTTGGCTGGTGGCCAACCAAAGGATTCAATATCAAGAAGAACAACAATATTGCTCTAGTTTTTCTGGATAAAAAACTCAGTGAAAGATTTTAGGGTATCTGCTTATTTCTGCCCTGGACTGTACCACTGAAAGGAGACGTGAGCACCTGCAGCCCTCTGGTCTGAAACGAACATATTGGACGGGCAAGAGGTTGATATTTCTGTGGCTTCAGGAAAGGAGGAGACGTGCAGGGACACCCCAATGCACGCCCCGGGAGCCCCAGAAAAAGGCAACCGGGAGGAGGTGGGGTTCAGATCCAGGCTGCAGGTGTCCTGCCCTCTCCCCATCTCCTGCAGCAGCCAAATCTGAAACTTTCATCAGGAGGAGAGCCCGAGCCGCTCACTGACCCGCAGAGGGGACTTCGGGGATGCTCAGGGCACTTGTGTCATCCGGGGATCGATGGAAACCAGGCCAGTGTGAGCATTATGGAGGAGACAGCTAAAATGACAGTGTGTGCATGCAAAACCATGCCTTGGAGCTCGAGGAGATCACCCAGAGATCATAACCCATCTGCAAGCAGCCCGGGGCCAAGGGACCTGCACCCAGGCAGGGTGCACCAGCCTGGGCAGAGGAGCCACGCTCAGGGCTGCAAACGCTCTTACCCTGCAGCCTTCCCTCATACCGGGAAGGCTGGTACACTGCAGGCCAACATGTTTTCAGCCTAATATCATACACTGTTATTTATCTGGCTATATGCAGGGCCGGGCTACCCTGACAGGTCTCTAAAAGCTGCAATTTGACATAAATTAGAAATGAGCAAGGTAGTTTCAAATTAATAATTTACAAGACAAACCTGCTCTCTTTTCGCTGTTTATGGCATCACTGAGAACAGCCCCTCATTTCCTGGAATGTATCAGTTATTTGCAATGCCCCAACAATGTCGTGACGAGGCGAGTTTTCAAACAGCTCACCCATCACTCAGCATCGGTGTATGCGGCATTTGGCAGTCACCGTCCGAGCTTCATCTCCCACAGGCGGATGCCCTGAGCTAGCAGCTCTGCAGTACGGACTGAAGGAAAGTTGGACCTAGATTATGCTCAGTTTAGTTTCTCCTTTGGGAACTGCTTCCATTTCTGTAATCAGCAGAGTTTAACTTTTTGCTACAGCAAACCCCACGATTCAGAAGTTGAGGCTTATCTTGCAGTTAGAGAGTGCTCAGGGGACACAAGCCCCCTCACTTCCATGAGAACAAGATTTCCCAAAAAGCTGATGTCACGGACACAGCCGGGGAGGCATTTACAGCCAGAGGGAAGCATGATGATGCCTGAAGTGAGACTATTTCTCAACAAGCTGCGAGCATTGTTTTGGAGGCTGATGTAAACTGCCCGAGATCCATGACACAAGATCCCCGTGCTGGCCATCCCTCACACCTCGTGGGGAGGAGCAGACAATGCCCTGGCAACCCACAAACCCAGAAAAATGCGTCTTGTTACACTAAGCTTCCCCAAGCGTTGCTGTCATCTGGGTGGACCACTCCTTACGAAGAGCAAAGGCATGCATTTTTCCTGGTTTTGGTCTAATTGTTCTTATTTCATACATTTTTCATCCACAGAGACACACAATTGTTTTGCTGCTTCAGCATAACTATTTTGACATTGTATTCTTTCACAAGTCCATGTTTCTGCTGGGTAACAGTAGTATTCAATATATGCACTCAATATAGCTAACCGGGTTTTAAATATAGGTATCTTGGCAATTATGCCTGTGAGGATGATTGTCACGAATGAGACTGTGGGCTGACTGTGCAGAACTGCAGAGGACCCACAGGGCTGAGTGGCTGCATAATAAAATTCAGATGAAGTTGAATGCAGAAAGCAACAGCCCTGAGACTCCACTTAACGCTGGGCTCTAGCTGACCACTACCCGTCTGAGCAAAGCGTCGGGGGCCTGGTAGACTAGTCTAAGATCTGGGATAAATACCCACTGGGTAACCTCAACCCATCAGGCCTTTCCAAAATATAAAAACCAAATGTTAGGTGTTAGAAGAAGAGCAGCAGAAAACAAAACAGAAAATTACACAGCTGTACAAAGTCATGGTGTTCCCACAACTTAAGTACTGCGTACAGCTTGGTCTTCTTACTTCAAAGGTGGAGGTATAAATTACTGCATCTCTACTGAAAGAGTTGCATTATTTTATTGTAATTGAGGATCTGACCACCTATGCTGCGAGTTAAATTAGAGTTTTTCATTTTATAATTTCAAGCTCTGCAGAGGGTCTGTCAGGCATCGACACCTCCTGCTGGAAAGATGCAAAACAAGCTCTCGTAGGTGTATGTGAGCAGAAGACCACCAACACCCACCTGGACTGTGGCATGAACAGCCTCAGGCACCTGATACTTCAACTCGTTAGCCGTTTGCTGAGATTTTGGCAGCAGGAACGGGTAGGACAGGGATCGGTATTTGGGCTTCATAATCTGCCCAGGGGAAAAAAGAAAAAAAAAAAGTCCTTGAAGAGACTGCAACATAGCAGAATAACATAAAAAAAAAATGCATGCCTACGGAGGGCACGTGGATGAGGCAAAGGCTGTATTTCTTTCTGTGCCCCCAGCAGCAATGCCTGCACCCCACCTTGGTGAAGTTCCAGCGCTGGATGAAGTGTCGGGCGACATCACGTGCCGCTTTGCCGTGCACCACGGAGGAGATGTCATGCCAGGGCATCCTCGGAGTGGTGTATCTGTCAATGAAGTCTACGGGACAGGAAAGCACATTTGGACCTCCTCAGACAAAGCACATGAATGTCGAAAAGCACGGCGTCCCCCTCCTCAAACTGAAGTTTGTGGGACACAGCACTGAGGGCTGTGCAGATGAATTATCATGCAATCGCCCGCAGTCCAAGTCCATGGACCGTAAGGGCATAACTGGCCCTAGAACCTCTCAAAGGGAGTTTTGCTGCTTCTTCTAGCAGCCAAACCAAGACAGCCTCATTACCTCTGGCTCAGAAGTAGGAAAAAATATGGTTTGAGACTGAGAAGATGCAGAACAGGGTTTGGGGGAAAGTAATGACTTCCAGGGTACAAAGGCACCTACCAGCAAAAGGTTTGTCAAGTTGAACCCAGTCTTTAAAGACGAAGTTGCAATAGTCTTTTCCGTGCCAGAATCTGGTTTCCCCAAGCAGCTCGCCAACACCCGTCTTCAAGCTGCGGACGGATCCTTTATCTGTCACAGGCAAACAAGACAACAAAAACACACACTCCAAAGTCACGGCTGTCCATCGCACACGATGGAAAAGCATTGGTGGGACTTGCCCGTGCCAGCTGGCTGAAGCTGTTTTCTCCCTGTTGCTTTCAAAGGATGCATACTAGTATTTTTTCTTCCCTATTTTAATATTTGTTATACAATCAAGACAGGTTATATATAGGAGTCTGCTACGGAAACAAAAAGCAGATGCTGAATTCTCTCTACATTGGACCAAAAAATCACCCTATAATCATTTGTCTTTCCACAGTCCTATGACACCTGAATATTATGTAAATTATCACCATGTGGCAATCCACTCCTAGCTGTGGATATATGTACAGGAACATCACATATAACATGTACTTAATATATTTTACAATACTAATGAACTTATTCCAACTTCTCTGCTAGAGGTTTTATGATTTTGCCTCTATAGCAGGGTGTATCTCCTCTAACAGAAGCTAGTCTTTATTAACTAGGATGAGATGATTAAAAAGCTCATGTTCCCTCATTAAATATTGTGGGTTTTGTTTGCTTTATTTTGTTTTTCCAAATAACACTGTCATCTTTTGATACAATTTTACATGTTGAACAAATGGACCCTGAATTCCAAATTGATGGTGATTTAAAATGGTCTAAAATACTGTAGTCAGCGATATTCCCTCCTAACAGGATCCCTTTTCTAGAGCACGTATTTTGGTGCAGAGTGAACTTTTTCCTCACTGTTAAGAAAACCAAAACCGTTGACCTAGACCATGAACGTTTAATTAGCGTTATTTCCTGACCCTGAAAGCAGTCTTCATCTACTGTACCAACTACTAGGGCAGTAATTACACAGTACCATGCCACCAGCAGAAGCCTTCTCCTAACCCAACCACATCACCAAGTAACCACAAAAACCCCTTAGCACAAACCCCCCCCCTTTCAACAGTCAACAAAATACACATCGGCAGCAGCGCGACAAGACCAGTTTACACAAAGCAAGCCCTGCCAGCACTGCTGTAACCCCACCGAGCCGAGCTGAGCCAAGCCATTGCCAAAAATGCCATGCAGCAGGTATGCACCACAGCTGCCTTGGGAAGCATGAGCTTCTAGTGAGAGTCCAGGTGGAGCTGGGGAATCGCTGACCCTGCATGCTCGAATGGGAATGGGTGGGACACGCCAACCAGCCAAAAAACACACTTCATGTACCGAGCTTCCATGACTGTACACCGACTCATGAATGAGCAGGAGGTGACCACAGGGGAGACCGCGCTTCATTTCCATGAAGCAAATGCATCTCTTCCTTGTTACCTGCCACTACTTTGTAACCAGTATTTTATAACCGGCAATTAATGCCTTAGAGGAAGACGTTAGGAAGATGTGGAAGAACTGCTCCTCACTCCGTACCAGCACTCAGAGGCATCTCGATGAGGTACCGTACTGAAACAGGCCCTTCCAACATCGGTGCAGAGATCAGAACAGCTCAGTGCTTATAAGCACCCAACTGCTTTCTCAATCGAGTCAATGCTTTCATCGACTTTAATAAGGGGCAAAAGTCTTCATCCAAATGGAGGTTTGGCAACAGCCACTTTGCTGCTTCCTCTCTCTGTCTGCATTTGTCTTCCTGCATCAGGCTTATTTTAAAATATCCAGTGCAGAAGTTCCCAATTCCAGTAATAAGCCCCTTTCTTTTCAGGAAGGGAGCTGCTGAAATAATCATATACCATAATCAGAGCTATTTTCTTAACTGTTCCCTGCTGTCGTTATTGCAAATTTGTTTGGGTGGTTGTTTTTTTTTTTTGGGGGGGCGGGGGCGGGGTGTTGTGTGATTTTTTTGGTTCTTTTTTTTTAATTATTACTTATTTATGCTGCAGTTTTTGTAGCTTCTGGAGAAAGCTCTTCTGCCAGGATATCCTCACAGGGGTGCTACGGATGCTGGGAGAACAACAAGCAGCGAAGGCTGATCCTGGCACCCAACCTAACTCTCACCATCGTTACAATGCAAAAACATCGGCAGCTAAAGCCTGAAGGGGTCTGCACCTCTGCCTTCCTCCACTTACCCTCCCGAGGCTCAGCGAGCCCCTGTTTGGATTCACTGTGGTGATGGAACATTTTCAGATGGGGCTTTAAACTCTGGATTATATTCGGTTGACTTCTAGTGGGGTTACAGTAACCTGCAGAAAGTCAAGATGCTCTATTTACGGCAAAAACGCACGTCCACCTCTGCTACACTGGTGCCTGATCCTGTCTGAAGACACTTTCCATGACAGGAGCTCAAACGAGACATCAATTTGCGGAAACTACAAGTGACCAACAGGCAAAGGACCAAATTCAAGACCTGGATGGTTTTAAACCAAACAGATATATTGAAGCAGCAAAGCCATGGCTGCGTCCTGAACCAACTGCAACCAATGCAAACGATGCTCCAGCAAGGCTTCCTCCGGCCAGAGGCAGGAGTAAGATCTGCAGGGAATGATGGAAAGAAACTCAAGTTCCCACCCTGAGCAATTTACAGCTTCAGGAGCTGAGGACGTCAAGAACAGATCTCAGGAAGGACTCCACGCTGGAACAAATGTCAAGCTGATCCTTGTAATTTTAGCTTTGAAACTGTTTTTAATGCGGGGAATTAAAAGCTGCATTCAAATATTCAGCTGTTGAATAGTCTCTCCTCTCTAGTAAGTGGGTAAATTGGGAATATTTCCATTTAAGTGAACTGATTTAAACCTAGGTAACACTAGCCTATAAGAGGGGTTAATCGCATTCAGAAACCGTTTTGCTTATTATAATAAATACGAATTAAAAATGAAAGATTTGATTCTTCCTTGCAGAACAAAAATTTTCCAGCAATATAAACATTAGGTATCATGTACACTATATCACATTATCTGATGGCTAATGACAATTGCTAATTAACTAAATGCAAATCCACTTAAAACTTTTCTTGTATATCTTGCAGTGACACAAATTTACATATTGACTACACACAGTCATTATTCTGATAGTTAAGAAATTCATCAACTCTCCTTCCTTACAAAGAACACGTTACTCTAGAAATTATGTAAATCTACACGTACACTCACCCACCCACCTCCACACACGCTTTATATATGTTGTTTAGCTGAAAAACATTACTTACTTGATTCACTGTCTATGCTGCTGACGCTGTCAGCATGGTGCATGCCGTGTTTATGGAGATGCTTGTAAATACTGAACCTTGAAAACTTTTTGGGTTTTCCTACTCCTTTCATTTTTGATATGTCTGGGGCATCATCAGCATTCCTCTGGAACAAGTGGCTTTCTGGGGACAGAGCTTGAGGCTGCAGCGGGACATGTTCAGACGACTCCGCTGCGGACTTAAAAGACACAGGATGTTGCTGCAGGTGATGTACGGACAGGTTCCCCTTTCATTACAGATTATCATGCACATCAATGCTCAGAAACAACCACGAGCCAAACTTTGCTCCGTGACAAAGACACTTCAGTGGGAACTACGAATGCTTTTGAGGGAGAGAGTCTGTACCGAGGAGGCACTCAACAGAAACACCCATTAATGCTAGCAGTACGTTCTTCAGTCCCATAAATTTACTCTGGATTATTACTTCCCCTTGAAATTCTCATAAATTTAGACCTCTTTACATTTTTTTTGAGAGATCTCTGGATGCATACAGACCCAGGTTAGCAGAAAGCTCAGCAAGCAAGGCACCTGCTGAGGGCCTGAGTATCCAGAAGTTTGGAGCACTCTGCGAGTGCCTACTGTGCATTTCCAGCTAAATTTTATTAAGAACGTAGCCTCCAAATTGTGACTGCTGCTCCAAGCTCCAGGGAAAACCCATCTGTCTATCTCCGTGCCCTAGCAAGGGCTGGTCAGGATCTAGCCCTAAAGAGTCATTCGATACTCAGATACTTCCACCTTCCCATCACTATTCCTCTTTAAACCTCCTAAACCCAACCCTACGCTTAAAAGTGGACACGGCTTGTTCATCCCCACCGCAAACCTAACGTGCAGATGTTGAAGGTGGCCACCAGCTGGAGCAAGCTTGCTTACTGCCAGGTTGATCGTCGACACCGACTTCACTGCTGCCATTCGTTTGACACTGCCCACATCGGTCAGGCGATGCTCGTCATCATCCCACCTGCCGTACGCCAAGTCGATGCCACCCACAAACGCCACGGACTGGTCAACGATGACGAGCTTCTCATGGTGAGCCCAGAGGTACACGGAGGAGGAAACGTGGTCTGGGTGTCTCATCACCTGGGAAGAGAACCAACACTCAAGCTCAGCATCATTGCCCAATTTACATCCCTCCAGCCAGCGAGCTGCCCGGCTTTTTTTTTTTTGGCTGCTCAAGATGATGGGAAAACACTGGAGTTTTTAGAAGATGCCTCCACACAGACTGCTGTAATTACTGAAGCTACGTGACTCCCCCTGCGCTGGGCTCAGCCTTGCTGGCAGGCAGGTGCTTCCCCACCCGGCGGGTATTCCCGAGCAGCGACAGTGACTGATGCTGGGATAGGTCACACTTACAACAACTGTGTTCATAAGAGGACCATAGTCAAGGAAACTGTTTCAAGAAATCAAATCATGCTTTCAGTAGAGCTGCAATAGCTGAGCTTTCAAACACAGAGCCTGCTCTAAAAGAAAACAACATATTGGTGATCTGACTCACTTCTTTGGTTGTTGCCACTACATAAGTGAAATGAGAAGTTGGCTGTTTTTTTCCCCATTTAAAATCAGCAAATTGTTTAACATTTGTTTATGAGATTCTTTTTGACATGTGTTTATGGCAAAGTAATTTCTATATCTAAGCATTCAGTATATAGTTTGATTTTTTTTATGTTAGAGGAGAGTGATTAGACCAGCTTCCTGGGGAAAAAGCTAGAGAGCTTCACCTCGCTGCTCCCAAAATCTGTTACGCGCATGGCATGTATCTTCCAGTTACGCCTTCCAGTCTTGCTGCGAAGATGAGGGTGAATGGATGCTTCCCTTCACCGTGACAGCTGGTCAAGTGACAATAAATCTATTATTCTAGCAGTTTGTTAGTCACCCTCATGCATACCATGTATCTCATTGCTCATTAAAATGTCTATGTCTCTAATTTCAAGAGACTGGATCTAGCCTTATCTACTGGTTTGCGTGCCACAACTCATTTTCTGCTCGGTGGCAGAGCAGCAGTGAAACAGCACAGGACAGCGCAATGCTGTTCATTTACGATGGGAATGTAAACATCCAGTGTTGACTCTCATCATCTACGTACGAACAGAAATGCTGAAATGAGACAACATTCTCAAACTGTAATTTTCCATTTGCTGTAACCCCCATTAACTTGTCACATGAAATATGTTTCTTGTGAATTAGATGAATAGTTGTTTTGGCAAGTCTAAACTAAGCAATTTTGTGTTCAATTATAACCTAAAGAAATGAAGTTGCCAGATAATGGTAATCACTGCATGGGTATGTCTTCTCAGATTATTCCCACTCTAACGGTGGGAAACACTGTTCTTCCAGGTCACACCCAAATACACTGAGGGTCATCGCTAGCTATCGAGAGCAAATGAATGCAAATGTCCTTCATACAACTGCCAGATGCGCAATTACCTTAACGTTTGGATGGAGGTGCATGAGTGTCCGCTTGCTATATTCACTGTTGATCCCTAGGGCAAGCTCCACCTCTTTGTACAGCATAACAAAAATTCTCACTCCTTGTTGCTGTCAGAAATAAAGAGAAACACATGGTACGCAGGTATTTCTATAGATACAGTCCATTTCCGAAGCAAGGAAAAGCTAAGAGGCAGTAAGCATGTTGTGCCTGCAGACAGAAATGCAGGCTGAGGTTACTTGTTCTTGATTGC